AATTTTTATGATGCTGCATTGGCTTAGTCATTGCAAATCAACTCACTACTATACTTGTTAGAAATCATGGTAAGATTACTTGGATAGAGGATTTGGAAGAAATTAATGGTATTAAGTTGATAATAAATGAGCATAAGTATGAATTAAAATGTATTAGTGAATTTGAAAAAGTTTATTAAAGTTCTAGGAGAGAGAGTACACTTTAGTAATGTTTATATATTTTAAGTGGACAAATTGGATTAGGCTCTAAGGGTACCTAATTTTACAAATTGGTACACACGCACACCTCTGTTGTCGTCGTTCTTCCGACTGGTTCGGCTTAACTCAGTCTTAAGCTTTGATCCAATAATTTTTTTGGTTCTCAAAATGGAAAAAATGATTTAATATTATTTATTATTATTAATTAATTTTCGCGTGTGGTATATGTTAATTAATTATGTGTGTCACAATTTATTAATTATTATTAATTATTAATTAATGATGTAATTACTAACTTAACCCTAAATGTTGATTGTATTTTTTTTCTTGTATACCAAGTCTCTGGCCTCCTTACTGCCAAGTTTGTAACGACTAGTAATGGGCCGAATTCGCTCCATTTCTCATATTATTTTCTTTTTAGTTGGATTACATCCTCAACTATAAATAGAGAACCTTCCATCACTTGTTCCTCACTCCAGAATTTCATATTCGAATTCTCTCCTCTCTCTGCTCTACTTCACCTGAAATTTTTTTCTTTTCTGTTTTTTAGTGGCTTACCACGCCATCAACGCTTGTATTATTTTCAGACACAGTGAGTGGTTTAAACACCATCTGAAGGTATATTTCTTTGAACGATTCACTACAGCACAAATGATAATCGTTACTTTGAACGAGATATTTTATCTTGGAGACGTCGTCGAAACTCGATTGCTTTGCATAATTATTGGCAGTACGACGAAACCTCTTAAAAAAGCGACCTAGTATGTGACTCGTCCCGATAATTTCTTTGTGGTAATTTTCCAAAATCGAAAACAACCATTTTAAGACAATTATTTAACTGCCATGACTACTAAGGAAGTTATGAGTACTATTGCGGCCGACTTTGTCTCTAACAAACCATTTAAGTTTGAGGGTTCTCACTTCAAACGTTGACAAGCTAAGATGAAAATTTTCTTAACTTTAAAGAAGGTTGCCTACATTCTGACTGAAGATATTGTTGTTGTTCCTTCTAGATTACCGAACAAATTAATGGTAACCAAACTGTGAATTCAGACGGAGTTGTTAACTCAACTGAATTAGACTCTGTTGCAAAAGCTAAAGCCACAGTAGATGATGAAAAAAGCTAAAGCCGCACGAGATGATTTACAAATCAAGAAAGAGATTGTCATTTGAAATTATCTTTGCAAAATCCCCATTTTGAACAACCTTGGTGACGATTTGTACGATTACTACAGTAATTGTAAGATTGCTAAACAGGTATGGGAAGCTCTGCATATGAAATATGATACTGAAGAAGCAGGTGCAAAGAAATATGCTGTCAGTCGCTACTTGAACTATAAGATGGTGGATGAAAGGTATGTGGAAGCTCAAAGCCATAAAATTCACAAAATTACAATGAAATCATAACTGAAGGTATGCCCCTCGATGAACAATTTCAGATTGTTGATATAATTGACAAGTTGCCCCCTGGTTGGAAAGATTTCAAAAATTTGCTTCGACATAAAACTAATGAATTTTCAATCGAGAGTTTGATTACTCCCCTCTGAATTGAAGAGGAATCCCAAAGACAAGATCAGAAAGATGGAGTCTTAGTTGTTTGAAACAACAAAAAGAAATTCAACGTGGTTCTGAAGCCAACGAGCAAACCTTTAAAGAATCAAAACTGCAATATTGTGAACCAAATTAAGAATGAGAATCCCTCTAGGGCCCCATCTACTTCGATTTTTAGGCAGCAACCACCACCTCAAAGAAATGATGCTCTGGTTTTCACTTGCTACAATTATGGGAAACTGGGTCATATGGCTAAGAAATGTAAAAGCATCCCTAAACCTGTTGTCGGTTCAAATGCACAGGTTAACCTGACTGATGAGAAATTCATTGTTATGATCACCGAAGTCAACATGGTTGATGGAAGTGATGGTTGGTAGATAGACACCAGCGCCTCTTGTCATGTCTGTTACGATCCTGCTATGTTCAAGACGTACATGAATGCTGAAGATAAGAAAGTGCTGCTGGGAGATGCTCACACCACTAATGTTGCTGGAACTGGAGATGTTGAGTTGAAATTCGCCTCAGAAAAGACTTTGATCTTGAAGGACGTCATGCACGTTTTTGAAATTATAAAGAATCTTGTTTTTTATTTTCTTTTATATAAGGCAGTGTTTAGTCAAACTATAGGTGCAAATTTGTACACCATCACTAAGAATGATATTTTTGTTGGGAAATGGTACGCCACTGATGGCATGTTTAAGTTGAATGTTGATTTGAATAAAATTTCTCCTTCTATTTACTCTTAGTGTGATTTTAATATTTGACATGTTACTTTGTCACGTTAATAAGAGAGTTATTTCTAATGCAAGCAACTTAGGCCTAATCCCTAAGTTAAATGTCAATGATTCAAATAAATGTGAAATTATAGTCAAGATAAAATAGTTAAGACTTCGCATGAATCAATTATTAAAGGATCTGATCCCCTAGATCTTATACACTCTGACATATGTGAATTAGATGGAGCTTTAACTAGAAATAATAAACGTTATTTTATCACTTTTATTGACTATTCTCCTGATTATACTTATGTATACTTAATGAAGAATAAAAGTGAAGTGCTTTACATGTTTAAGATATATGTAACTGAAATTGAGAATCAATTAGTAAGAAGGTTAAGAGACTTCGTAATGATAGAGGAACTGAATACGATTCTGAGTTATTTAATTTTTTTAAATAAAAATTATGGAATTGTACATGAAACGACTGCTCCATATTCTTCTGAAATGAATGGTAAAGCAGAAAGAAAGAATATAATTTTTACTGAATTTGTTGTTACAATTATGATGAATTCTGGTTCTACACCTCACTGGTGGAGAGGGAATTTTATTGACTGTTTATTATGTCCTGAATAGAGTTCCCAAGTCTAAAAGTAAGATTTTTCCTTATAAGATATTAAAGAAAAGACAATCAAATTTGTCTTATTTGAAAACTTGGGACTTTTTGGCTTATGTCAGAATTATGGATAAAAAACAAGTTAAACTCACTAGTAGAGCGTATGAATATGTATTCATTGGGTATGCAGCAAACAGTTAAGCATATATGTTTTATGACCTAAATGCAAACGTGATCATAAAATAAAATGATGTTGAATTCTATGAAGATAAATTTTCTTTCAAATCGAGAAATAGTGGAGACACGCAATCGAGACACATTCATGTGATAAGAAATACAGAAAGCAACGACAATGTAGAAACAGAACTTTGACGAAGTAAAAGAGTAAGAGTTGTTAAATCTTCAAGAAATCTTGTCATCTCTGAAACAAATTTATGGCAAGAAGCTATTAATGATGAGATAGAATCTCTAAAATCTAACAAGACCTGAAACTTAGTAGATTTGTCTCCTGATTGCAAACGAATCAGTTGTAATGAGTTTTGAAAAAGAAACTAAAACCTGATGGAACTATTGATAAATACAAGACTCGCCTTGTAGCCAAGGATTTTAGACAAAGAGAAAATATAGATTTCTTCGACACCTTCTCTCCAGTCACTAGAAAATATAGAAAATATCCATTATGGTACTTATTTCAATAACTGCTATTTATAATTTAATAGTACACAAAATGGATGTTAAAACAACTTTCTTAAAAGAAATCTATATAAAACAACTAGAAAGATTTGTGATCCATAGACAAGAAAACAAGATCTGTAAGTTAGAGTTAGCACACAATCAACTGTAGCATGTTCTTCCTAATCACGTGTTACATGAATTAATCATATTTTTTTATGACTTTTATATAAACAATAATTCTGCATGGTTCAAGGTGTTCGCGATTTTGTATCACCAATGTATTTTAGTAGTAATGTGATTTCTAAAGGCCGATGCAATTATGCGTTAAGTTCGGAGACGAGTTAGGGAAGTGCGGAGTGCACGCTCGTCGAGCCAATACATAATTGAATACGAATAATTGAAACGGGGTTCCAAGGGGCGAAGCCCCTGGCGGGGTGCGGGGCAGCGCCCCGCGGGGTCCAAGGGGCGGAAGCCCCTGGCTGGGGTCCCGCTGCTAGGTCAGCGGGCGGGGTGCGGGGCAGCGCCCCGTGCAAAAATTTTGAATCCTTTCCCCAACGGACATAACTGTTCCCCAACGGACATAACTGTTTCCCAACGGACATAACTGTTTCCCAACGGACATATTCGTTTCGAACAAATGTGTCTCTTCGTTTCAATTACTGTTCTCCTATATAAGGAGTCGTTCGGCCTCGGTCTCGTATACAGGAAAAAACGCATCATTCTCTCTATAATTACAATTCGTTTTCTTTTGTCGGAAACATAATTTCTTCGAGAATTATCCCCACAAAGATTTCGTGAACCCAGACAAGAATATGGTCGAAATACTTTGTTCGGAAAGTGTACGAACACGATTCATCGAAGTTATCCAGGATTATCACACCCTAAATTTCTAACACAAGGTTCAGTTAATCTACCAAATTTAAAATTCATAAAATTTCCTCCTTTTTTTTCTAAGCAATGATGATGAGTCAAGTCAACAATCAAGTGGACCTCACAAACATACACTTTTCGTTTTTACATTATCATATGAATCTTCTTCCAAATTATTAGTATTACTATTAACCAAACAAAGCCTAGTGAGAAAATCTGTTCTGTAAGGTGAAAATTATCCTGACTTATAAACATATATCCAGATCATATATTATCCATCGGTCATTTCTATATAATATCTTATTGGAAAAATACATACAAGTTTCAACACTACTTCAAAAGACCAAAACTTACACTCTATAACAACAAGGACTTCATTTTCTCCTCACTTTGTGGTTAAGACTTTCCCTTCTTGTTGAAGATGATGTTGTAGAAGTCAAAGAAGATGAAAAATGTGAATGGTTATTTTCAGCCATATCCTTGTGAAATGCCTTCTGCACCTCGTCTCTAAGTTCCATGAACCGCGCTTTCTTCGTTCTTTGCTCTTCCTCAGTTCCCTTCTCTAGGACATGAACATCCGGCATCTCGTCTTCTAGGTACTTATCAAGCACCTCCGAACAATGCGGAAAGAAACGCCTACCGTTCTCAACTGTATACAAAATAAAACATGAAACCGTTATAACAAGTTTTTTTTTTTGACAGAAGTGACACGGAATTATTGAAAAATACTTTTGATCATACCTGTTTTTACAAGGGACTGTAATCTTAATTGGAGTTTTCTTGTTCTAAAAGAAGGAGTTTCATTTAGATCTACTTCTTTTATATTTCCTTTAAGAGCCGACAAAGTTGCGTAGAGTGGTGTTGAATCGGCCTCGGCATTCTCTATGGCTACCCTAGCCTCTGCAGGAAAGAACAGTCTAGCAAATGCAACTGCAACATATGACAAATAATGTTATTTTCTTGTACATAATATGTTTCCGAATTCAAAAGACTGGAGCAGATGTTTTGTTGCGATTCTTATGCATGCATATTCATAAAAGATAATAGCAACTAAGCATGTGTTTGGATCTGCGATGACAAAAATTAATATTTGATGAACTCATCGTGTAAAAATGAGTTGATTCTAGTTCACTTTTAACTAGAATCAATTCACGCGGAATCAATTTTTTTCACAACGGAATCAAACACACGCTAAATCAATGAAAGAACGTGAACTAGACGAGTAATTAGTACCTCTATTTTCAAGGTAATCCAGTCTCATGTTCAAATCATCAGCAGTTAACTGCGACAAAACTGACATGTCCACCGACATAGAATTTCTTCTCATTTCTCTCTCAAGTACATCAACACAAAGCCTGTCTTTATGAGACTCCTTACCCTGCACTGTCTTCATATTATAATCCTTTCGTCTCGTCAATCTCTGACAAATCGAAAGAGCAGTTTGTCCATCAAGAGTGGTTTCTGATGCACAAGCTCCTTTCTTCAATAATGCACACAGAATAGACGGATCCTTTCGTCTTGCAGCCACGTGAAGAACAGTGTATCCGCGCGGATTCTTAAGGAGAATATCCGCCAATCCTAGAGTAAGAACTTCCTGAACAACCTTAGAATCAGAATAAGCACAAGCGTAGTGTAGAGCATAGGCATCGTCAAGCGTCACACTAGATTCGTCTAAAAGAAGCTTTAGTAACTCAACATCATCAGAGTCCAATGCTTTAAGGATTTTCCTGATACTCTTATCGTTCATAATCACAGGCTCTACTTCCATCGCATCAGGTGATGATTCTGGAAGAGATTGGACTCGGAGCGATTTGATTTCGGTCATAACTTCATAAGGAAGTTCTCTTTCCAAAGATATGATGTCCATGTCAGACCTTGCTACTCTTTGAATGCAATGAGAGAGAAGCTGGTCTAGTTGGCAATGATTGGCAGCTACAAGAATAGGAATGACATCTTCTACAAGAGCCTTATCAACAAAATTTAGAAGATACCTCTGCATCAGTAAAGAGATATTTTTATTAGATCAATTCGGAAAAAAGACTCGGGTTTTTCTTCTTCTTTTAACCTATTCCATATCACAAAGGCACAATCCCTCCCATTCACGCGGTTAGCATATCAGTGGTAGTTGGATTGAGATCAGACGGAACATTTGATCTTGATACAACGACCACTGATGTGCTATCGTGAATTTGGGAAATTGCTAACAACAAACAATCCAAATCTGAAAACCGGATCCTTCCCAAAAACCCTAAACAATTGATATAATAGCTGATATAAAAAGTACAAGAAATTGATGCAGACTAGATATACCTGAAAAAGCAAAACAAGCTCTTTCATCTGAAATGTGGAAGAAGCATAAATAAGTTCCAACGCATAATCAATAGCCGGACGACACGAATCATGAATACAAGCTTCATCAACACAAGTCATCACTTCAATTGGTGGAGCCTTCAACTTTCCAGTATACAAATAATGCAAAAAAACAACAAAAGCTTCATATCCAACCCTACCATAACACACCAAATCTTTCATCTGATAACTCGGCTTTCCGGTTCCCTTTCCATCCTTCAAATCTCCATCTTTCCCTTTCTTAAAAAGTTCATGAAAAAACTGACTCCGCGAAGCCAGTATACACCGATGAATACCGACCGGAATCTCTTCAACAACAATCTCAGCATCACAGTAATCATAATCAACAACATCACTCAATAGCTTCTCAAGGCTTCCACTGAGCTTATTCAAACTCACAATTTCAATATTTGCAACATGTTCATTGTGAGTATTGCTTGAACCATTTGATATGTGTGATGATACAAAACTCAATGATGATGATGCTTCATTTGAATTATCCATGACTCTTTTAAGCCTCAAATTGAGTCAACGGATAGGTTGACTTAATTTTTCAACCAAAAAAAATAATAATCAGATTCATAGTTCATAACCCTTTAAGGATACAACACAACTCTAGCTAAAAAAGCTCAAAAAATCACTTTTTTTAGATGGGATTTTCTCCACAATCACTTGTAAGTCAAGAAACATAAGTAAGAATCCATGAAACAAAAAATTAAGATATTTTTATACCATTTTGGTCTACTTGATGACCCATTAAAGATATGAAGATTGAGAATGAAAAAGTTTAGATTTTTAGCAATTAAATGATGAGGGTAAGAGATTAAAAGAAAAACTACATACAGGGTCAGTGTTTGATTTGAGATTGAAGATGAAATCACTCAATAGCAGCTTGTGAGGGAGAATGAAACAGAAACAGAAACAAATCTTGAGGAACAGTAAGAGAATTAGTTAAGCATATGAAAAGTTGACCGTGGTCCATGGAAGGTTTCAAAAAATATAATACAAAGACATAACAGAATTCAAGAAAATGAATAGTTTTTTACCACAAAAATGCTTTCAAGTCCATTCCACCAAAGAAGACATGACTTGGAAGGGAAAGAGAAAGTGAGACAATGAGCAAAGGTTGACCAACAAAATAGAGAGAGAGAGAGAGAGAAAATTGTGCTATATGTTTTTTTTTTCTTCATTTTTTATGATTCTCACACGTTTCTCATGTATGTTGAATTAAAGTTTATAATAAATAATATAAAATATTATGATGTTCGTATCTAATGCTTATGAGTAAGAAGCATAATTTTGTGTACACGTATAGGATTGAAAAGGGTAAGAAGTGATGAGTGAATCTAAGCATAAAGCTAAATCTATTAGGGTCGTACACAAAAATAGTATTTAACGAGGGTAGGATTCTTACCAATTATTTATCATTCATATTTGGAAAATCTATATAGTGACTTTATAACTATGAAAATCAATTTAGTGTTTCATCCTAACTTTTCAGAATAAATCGTTAATAGTTTATGAATTAAAATTGTGTGGTGGTTGAAGGTAAAGTGGGGGTACATGTAAGATACTCTGATGCTAAAGTGAGATTTAGAGTAAAATGTAAGTAGGAGATAAGAGAGTAAATGACTGAATACCTGACCCTCTAATGTAAGAGGGTATGTATAGGCCCCAGCGCTGAACCAAGATCCCCATGTTGAACCGACTGGGCAGACCCAAAATGGAGACTGCCAAGACCTATGTGTGTAGCGGAGACCAGCATGTGATCTTCATCCTGGGTGAACTTCCCTAAAATATCAGGGAGGTGTGGACGCTGTCTTTTCAAGATTAAGAGAACTTCGTGATATTTGGAGAAGCCTTGGGTGTCTGCCCTACGAGGAGGGTACGTTCGTGACGAACACCTGGGCAACACTGATCCTCCTCGGCAGTCATGTGGAGAGGATGTCCTCAGAGGATGCGTAGAGGATATGTCCTCAACGTAAGGGGCGGATCCTGCCCAGCGTAGGTCAAGGGTAGGTTCATTCATTATGGGCTTTCCATACAACATAGTTGGATTGGGTCTTGTATGATGTTTGGGTCGAGTGCGGGTCCAATCCAAAACATGAGCCCACCAAGTCATTGTTCCTAAGTGGAGGAGTTATGACTTAAGACCAACTCGTATGTCTGACGGACGTAGCTCGTCGAGGCACCAACTTTTGTCGGGGAATGTGGACGACCTTATATGATAGCTTTTTTGGATGGAAGTTGAGGCGTGCTCGCGGGAAGAGTCCATGTGTTCTTCGACTGTCGGGGAGTCTGAAAGATCATAAGACTTTTAATTCATAGGCTATGTGGCGTAGCCTTTAAGGTGGAATGATGGCCTAGGGAGTATGGGTCATCATGACCTGAGCGTGTGAGCGGTGGAGAGGCGGAACGCTAAAACGTTATCTGACGTGATGCTTTATCTTCCGCGCGGGTTTTATAAATAGGGTTCAAGGGCTCATTTGCGACATTTTCAAGCTTTTTCTCTCATATTTCTCCTCTCCACTATTGATTTCCTCTCAGACGCAAGCACCGTCGCGTCTCCCGCCGCAAATTTCGTTCCAGCTTTGATCAAGTAAGTGCTTCTTTCCGCGATTACGCCTGCTTTCAGATGAGTTTTATACTTTATGGAAAATTTTCGTGTGACTTTCATGTGTTCAAGATGAATTTCACGCCTTGGGAGTGGTATTCCCCGTGAAATTCATGGATTTCTTGATGAGATTCACTTTTTGGGGTTTTGCCTCAAGACATTCATGCATCTCCTCGTGATATTCATCAATTTTGATGGCCCCTATGTCCCAGGTGTAACACCCTATTTCTACCCGATGGATAATAATAAAATCAGAGTTCAACATAAATAGGATGCTATATTTTTAAATTAAAATCAAACTGCATTTAATCGCATATAAAATAGATACATAACACTTAATTCGGATGAACCAATAACAGCCTGCTTTATTCTTTAAAATCAAACAACTTTTTATTGATAAGCAGCAGAATATACATACTCAACTTCAATTCACTTAACATCTTTTATTCAACTAAAACAACTTCTAGACAACAATTATTTCATGTAATCAACTTAAAAATTCAGCAACTGATCAACAACTAAACATCAAGCGTTCATCCTCCCGAGTGATACGTATCAGAGCGACGACACCGACTCAAACTAACGAAGTAACAATTATCCTTCTCGATTACCTGCACGTTACCAACAGAGAACAATATTCAAATAGAACGGGTGAGATATCAGACAATATAAAAAGTCGTATGATAAATAATATATTAGATCAGATCATATAAAATCACCACTTCACAACTTACAAACAACTTTAATCACAACAAACATCAGCAAGACATAACTACTAACTCACAGCTTTTAGATAATACTTGTCACAACAAGTCCACAACATAAAGCAACAACAAATAACATCACCACAACTCAAGATGCAACATCAACTATGACTCAATTACAATGCACATGAATGTGGTACCATTGGAGCAGAACTCCCATCTTAAAAATCTGCCAATAAATAGAGGCATCAACAAGGCATAAGCCTTCTTCGCAGTTTGTCAATCCAGGCCATCACAGAGTATGCAAATGTATGTGACTCAATGAATGCACTATTACATACTCACAACCATCATCATTCATCGCAAGGCATAAGCCCACATCACCATTATTACCAGCAAATATAGGTCATTTATCATCATCTAAAATTCTTTGCAACTTCACATTATCAACAAGAATTCACAAAGACAATCACAACAACACAACATCTCAACATTAGTCATAGGCCTACAACTTTATATTGCCAATAAATAGAGGCAACATAACAACAACAACAACAAATATTAACAACAACATAACCACAACTATTCAACTTTGACAACAAGCCTTCAACTTGATTCTTGCCAATAGTTAGAGGCAATGCAACAAAATTCACCACCTGCATCTTCATAATTAACCACAACAATTGTTCCGTATAATTATTCGGACAAATCGACCAAATCCTGCAAATTAATTACCGGCTAATCGTCCCATTATTTTCTAATCTGTACTAATGTACTTATTGGCTCTCTGTTAATTGGATACTGTTGTACCCCAAAATTTACCCTCTCATGTTTCCCATGATTTTTTCCCCTACACGGTTGGTCACAAACCTTTTCCTAAAGAAAAGGAAAATTGGTGAGTGATGTTTCTAAGTTTCCTTCGATTGGCATCCCCAAAATGCATTTCAATGGGTATCTACATAGCCCCCTTCAATTGGCATGGGCAAAAGTCCTTCGATGGGCCTGTTAACAAGGCTCTTCGATTGGCAGGTTAACAAGTATCTTTCGATTGACATTGTAGCAGTGGCATTTGATTGGCAGGTTAATAAGTATCTTTCGATTGACGTTGTAGCAGTGGCATTCGATTGGTAGTTTAACAAGTATCTTTCAATTGACGTTGTAGCAGTGGCATTCGATTGGTAGTTTAACAAGTATCTTTCGATTGGTATTATAGTAGTGGCCTTCGATTGGCATTTTGATAAAGGTCCTTCGACTGGAACTTCAGAGTTTCCCTCAATCGGAATATCTGAATGAAATGACCTTCGAGTGGCATTTCAGTATAGAGTTTGCCTTAATCTGAGATGCTCTGATGAAGGAAGTTCTGAATACTTCGAATCAGAATTTAGACTCATCACGAGGCCAAGAGCTGGTCGAAGTTGCCTAATAGGGAATTTTCTTCAAAAGGACAGGAGATCGAAGCAAAGGGTGGTTCAATCGAAGGAGCCCTAGTATTGAAGCTGGCACAATTCGACTCAGAACCAGTAAGGAGAGCAAGGTTATACTAGGGAAAGTTGGTTTGAATTGGACTTTGAAGCCATCGAAGAAAGCAAATTCGAAGGGAAGTGGACCTGCAGGGGTAGGTCAGCTTTCGATTTTTATCATGTTGGAGGCCTAAACAGCTCATAACGGGCTGGCAGTAACGCATGAAAGCAGATTGACACGTGATTGAATCAAAAATAGAAAGTCTTTATGAAGAAATCAAATCAAATCCATGTAAAGGCATGGTGTAGACAAAAAGATTGAATTAGGCTATTTTTGGAATGATATTCAAAGTGAATCAAATCAAGAATCAAGACATTGATGGAGGAAGATTGAGGCCAGGTTTTCAACCCTAATTCATTCCATTATATACAAGCAAGCCTCACAAATCAACAAGAAAAAAGTCTGCAGAGACGAAAAAACGCACGGAGGTTGGCTTAGAAGAAAACGCTGCCTGCCCCACGAGATTCCATAAAGTTGCCAAAGATTGTCACACTAAAAGCCGGTTTTGCGCGTAGTCTCTGTCCAGACTAATATTTGAATCGTGAAGCATCCCTCATACAACCCCCCCGTGGGTAATTTTTCCTTTGATCTCAAAATTTTAAGTGTGATTTAAATTCATGTTGAACATATATACATATTGCTGCTAATATTCATGTGTGTTTGAG